TGATATTTAATTAAATATATAAAAACACAATAACGGAATCAAGTAATCAACTAATCTAATCAAAATCAAAACTCTATCACACTACAAAATGAACTTATATCATGAAGTACCAAAGTAAACTTAAAGCAAAAAGAGCAAAAACAACGATGATATTATTCATAATTTGCTGAAATAGGTTTTCCTGCGAACAAATTAATGGCAGAATAATAAATGGGAATAATAATAACTTGAATTTGTCACTTTGACAATTTAGGTTATACGTTTGCTAATGTTTTAAATAATGAAGAATGTATTTTTTCACGATTTTATATTTTATGAAAAGTTTCAACTGTGTAGTATATTGACCATTATGGATCTATGGAAGATAGATTGAGACGGTATATGACCATTGACCCCATACAATAAGCAGTTACACCTTTGACCCTAATTGACATAACGAAGAATGCATTTCCACAATTTCATCTTCTTCCATGAAATGCTCTACCCGTCATGTTTTACCTAGATTGTGCTGCGCATAGATTCAATCGGATTATTTTGGGCCATTACAAAAAGTGGGTTATTGATGTGGACAAATGCTCATGTACCCTTTAAGCTCATATAATGTATTTTATTACTAGAGGAAAAAAATGGTCAGTCGCTCAATAGTGTCTGACAGTAAAGTCTAGAAAGTAAAGGGGTTTCCTTGTTTAATTTGAATACTAGAAAACTGCTAACGTTTATATTTCACAAATAGGACAAACGTGACATAATTAATTCCTACAATGTTCTACAAAATTTGCGAATTTAACATTCAATTGAAAATTTCGACATGATCCCACCATCTGATCCAAAAACTAAAAGCTCAACTTTTATAGCCCATAGTCTCAGCTATAACATATCAAAATTTGGGAGAACATAGAGCACAAATAAGCTAGATAGTGCTCCAAGATTAATGTCATGTAGATCCATGATTTGAACTAAATTGGCACCTTCCATAGGCTTAACACGCAAATTAAGAAAATCTGTCAAGTACCTTTAATCGCATCTTTCACTATGATGATGAAAAAACGGTGCCTGGACGGTCACGCATGAAAGTTTCCGGAGAACGAAGAATTTAGTGACCTTGAAGGAATGCTAGAGACTACGCCTACAAATTTTGAAGGGAATTGGAGAAGAGAAAGGGATCTAGAAAGGGCTCGCAAGCACTGCGTGCAAAACCAGTAGGACTTGGTGCATGATGAACATGTTACGACGCGTGCTTTGGCACGAACGGCCGCCCATACTAACACAAAAATGACGTCATGGCCGAAACGTGTTATAATAGGGCGGAAACTCGGCGGAATTCGTATAGTGACCCTTGTTCAAATGCGATTTACTCACAATTTTCTGCGTGAACATATACCATACTTGGTATCATTCGAAAGGGCGCTTCAGTGCGGTCAGTTTGACACCATTGTCATCTGCGCAAAACGTACTGCACGCATCAAACGCGCTATTACGTAAAGCATAGTAAATTCATCATTTTGGGCGATAACTGCGAAAAGGGCATTACAATTTACCAAACTTAGCAGACAGTTGTCACGTATATGGATACATGTGTCTGCCAAGTTTCATTGATGTAGGTATAAAGATCGCCATTTTAGAGCAAGTTGAAGTTATTTCGGAATTTTCTTTAAAATGGCGAATTTGGAGGGCAATTATCTCAAATTTGGTCAGTGATAGGGTATATAATTTTGTATATGGCTGGAAAGGGTATAACTTCAAGTATCTAAATTCAAAAAAGGGTACGGGTCTGCCAAGCCGTAATGGAGATACGGCCACAAAAAGAAAGCCAATTCCCAGAACTTTAGTGGGCGCTATTTATTTTTTGCATAGTCATTGGACCTTGAAATTTGGCATGGCTATGTGCAAATATGAGATAAAGATACTGTAAGATTTAATTACAAAACGAAATTTATATGAAAAAGTTATGGCAGTTTTAGATTTGTTGGGGTCCACTTTTCAAGAATTTTAAAGATTTTTGACGGAGTCGGTTTTGGATTTGAATTTTGATGGTCAAGTTATACGTCGCAGATGAAAGAACATCTCTCAGACTATCTAAAGGAATTTGTTAGAAGTTTGTAGGATCTAGGATAGTGAAGATAGGAAGGAAGAAAGAAAGGCCTAAAAATGGACCAGAAACGGACAAAATGGCGCCTGGATGGTTATGCATGAGTGATTTCGAAAATCGAAAAAGTAGGTGACCTTGATGAGATGCTAGAGATTATGCCTATGAAATTTGAACGGAAATGGACATGAGAAAAGCACCTAACTAGGAATAACAAACACTATGTGCAAAACGAATGCGATTTTCTACAAAAAAGAAGAAGAAGAATACTAGAAATGCAATCGTGTCACAACGATGTGCGTGCAATGACGCCATGTTTCTACGTGTCAAACGAAAGAGCTTCTCTCGGACTATATCCAGAGCAATTTGTACGAAATATGTAGCTTCTCTGATATAGGTAGGGCGAAAGAAAGGCCTCAACAGTGACGTTGATGGGATGGTAGTGACTATGCCTACGAAATTTGAAAGAAATTGGGGTAGGGGAAAGAACGTAGAAAGGGCTCGCAAGCACTGCGTGCAAAAACCAAGGGGATTTGGTGCATGTTCGTCATTGCAATAAAGATCGTTATGGGGGTCAAAAGCATGAACCCGATATGCCCAATAGACAGTGCGTGTAATGCATGGGCGGAAAACGTACAGGATCTGTATTATGACCGGAGTTAAATTGTTTTTTCTCTCTCTCTTTATGTCTCTTTATGGGCCGTATTTGGTATCATTAGAAAGAGAATTTCATGGTTGTTATTGTAAACTACTCTCCTTTTTTCTATGATGATCCTATCGAAACACATGATGTAAAATAGATTTATAGAACAAAATGGCGTCTTGAATGGCCCCCTTGACCAATTTCAAAAATCCGGCTAAGAGGTGCCCTGCGTATTGGAACTCGGTATGCCACTGCAAATGTTCAAGGAAAAAAAAGGACATTTAAGGGGCGAAAAGCAGTCTGAAAAAATGACGTCCTAGCCGATACGTGTTAGATTCGGGCGGAAACTCGGCGGAATTCGTATAGTGACCTTTGTTCAAATGCGATTTACTCACAATTTTCTATGTAAACATATACTTTACTTGGTATCATTCGAAAGGGCACGTCATTGCGGTCAGTTCGACACCATTGTCATTTGCGCGCAATGTATTGCACGCACAAAATAAGCTTTTACGTAATGCATAGTAAATTCATAATTTTGGGCGATAACTTTGCGCTGACATCATGATATTCGAATTTTACTAAAATTATTGAACAGTTGTCACGTATATGGATACATGTTTCTGCCAAGTTTCATTGATGTAGGTATAACGATCGCCATTTTAGAGCATGCAAGTTGAAGTTACTTCGGAATTTTCTTGAAAATGGCGAATTAGGAGGGTAATTTTCTCAAATTTGGTCAGTGATAGGGTATACAATTTTGTATATTGCTGGAAAGGGCATATCTTCAAGTATCTAAATCTAAAAAAGGGTACGGGTCTGCCAAGCCATAATGGAGATACTGCAACAGAAAGAAAGCCAATTCCCAGAACTTTAGAGGGCGCTATTTATGTTTTGCATAGTCATTGGAGCATGAAACTTAGCATGGCTATTAGCAATTATGAGATAAGGATAATGTGAGATTTAAACACAAAGCGGAATTTATATGAGAAAGTTATGGCTGTTTTAGATTATTTAGGGGTCCATTTTTCAAGAATTTGAGAGATTTTTGACGGAATCTGTTTCAGATTTGAATTTTGAGTATGAAGATGGCATTTTGAAGGGCAGGTTATACGTCGTAGATGAAAGAACATCTCTTAGACCATCTAGAGGAATTTGTTAGAAGTTTGTAGGATCTAGGGTAGTGGAGATAGGAAGGAAGATAGAAAGACCTTAAAATGAATCAGAAACGGATAAAATGGCGCCTTGACTGTTATGCATGAGTGATTTCGAAAATCAAAGAATGTAGTGACCTTGATGAGATGCTAGAGATGATGACTTCGAAATTTGAAAGGAAAAGGAACTAGGAATAACAAGCACTACGTGCAAAACGAATGGGATTTCTGGACGATAAGGAAAACCAGGAGAATATTAATGGGGCAGAATGTGAACGAAAACAAGGCAATGACGAAGGTCGTCATTGCAAATATTAATAATGTGAACGAAAACAAGGCAATGACGAAGGTCGTCATTGCAAAAAACGTTTCGATATGGGGAAGGGGGGGGGCGTAGTGTTCCGATTGATGTTTGTATTATGTGTCACCCTGAATATTACGGGTACAGTCGAGTTAGATGTATAGACAATATTTATTTCACACTGTTTGCTGATTACAAGTCATGGTTGCCTCAATCACTAATTTTATACCTTATTTATGACACTGGTAGTTCACAAATTGGCCTGGGATCCAGGGGTCAGAGCCCCCAGAAGCTCAGGGGTTTTGGCAATACATTACGGTCAGATGAGCATATTTTTATACCTTATTTGTGACCCTGGCAGGTCACGAATCGGCCTGGGGTCCAGGGGCGGACCCCCCCCCCCCCCGATCCGCCACTGCTCATCACAGTAATATATTTACCAACGCTAAAAGATATCCAACATACGGAAATCCAATCTATACTGTATGCTCACAGGTAATGCAGTTACTGCGGCCCAGCTTGAGCGCGCATTTGAAATCTTGTACGCTTAGCTGTGTGTGTGTGCAAAAGTCGAGGAGGGGTTAATTAGAAGTACTATCAAAACCTCTGACGCAATGATAGATCGAAATGCTCCTTGTCATGTGATAGAGTTTTGACCAATCAGTGAATGACAATCTATGTATGAGGTTTATAATATTCACTGGCGCCTACCTTCGCTCCAAAACATACTTTCGACTCCCCGTATCATCTCATAATTCGTCTTTCGTCAACATGCGGTCCATTAAGAAGATATTCTTCTGTATGTGTTTAGTGTTTTCTGCATTTATCTTTCTCAATTACTACAGGAACTTCAAAACGCTTTCTGAAGAAAAAAACAAGCTTCATGACTTTAAGATTACTCTGATCAAAGCGCATTCTGAGAAGAAAAAAAGCAGCATGAAGTAAAGATTACTCTGACCGAAACGCATTCGGAAGTGAAAAAAAGCTACATGAAAAAGAGAAGCTGCTTGGTTGGAGACGGAATGTTCAATGGGAGTCCAAATTAGACCAGCATGAGTATCGCTATCTCATCAACCCGGAGAATGGATGCAAGAAATCGGAAAGCATCACCTTGCTTATCTGCGTAATGACTAGAATGAGTGGTGTAAAACAGAGGAATGTCATCAGAGAAACATACGGCGCGGGAGTGGTGAAGTACAATGTTTCTGCGAAGATTTTATTCCTTACTGGAATCTCCGGGGACTATAATTCAACTCTGCAAGCTCAGCTGCAAAGTGAGGCTGAAATTCACGGAGATATTCTACAAGAGGACTTTATTGATAGCTACTACAATCTAACCACTAAACTCATCATGGCCGCCAAATGGGCATCCACATTCTGTAAAAATAGTAATTATGTAATGTCAATAGATGACGATGTCACTCTGGACATCGTTAACCTCGTCAGCGACCTCGAAGCAAATGTCGTTCTTTCAAAGTTTGTGTTAGCCGAGCCTACATTTGGCTGGAAACCTATGCGGGATCCTGGAGATAAGTGGTATACTCCATATGAATTCTATTCGAAGAAGACATGGCCTCCTTTTCCTCGAGGATACGCGTATATCCTCTCCATAGATGTTGCCCATGATATCTATTGTGCCTCTCAGAAGACGGCTGCACCGATACCCTGGGAAGATGTTTATTGTGGTATGCTCTTACAGGCAGTAGGGGTGAAGATGACCGATATAATATCTTGGTTTCAGACTAGACATGGACATGAGAAACAAGTGGCTCCATTGGGAGCTCGAGACCACTATGCGATTTGGGATAAGCCCCCAATACAGACCTGGAGAGCAATTATTGAACAAAGATACAAGAACATTCACTTGTAGTGAAGTTTGCCTGTCCAGGAAAAATTTCCTAGAGCTGCTTTGTCCTGTTGCTGGTTAGGAAGTTGGTTCGACATAACGGGTGTCTGTTTGTTGAACTTGTAATATGTCATGCTCAAATAGTTTCAATTAGGTGTAAATATAGGTTTGTTTGTTTGTTTGATTGATTTTATTTCTGCGTTCAAAAATATACAAATTCAAAGTCAAAGTACAAAATTTCGAACAATAACAAATACAATGAATACAATGTTTACAAAAGTAATTAAATGAAAAATCATGTTCAATTATATCATTCGATAAACATGTACGAAGCATACAATAACATAAGAAATATGAAATATTTTCAATAAATTAGAGAGGTAATTTGGAACGCAGGAGACCACCATCGTGAGCGGTTAGGCTGGAGATGGATGGCGGCCTCGTAAAAAGAATTGGCGACATAACTCTCTTCGAAAAACTGAGTGATCAAGAGGGTGCGGTGCAAGTGCAGGTGCAGTGAGCAGTTGCATGATAAAGAATAAATAAGTCACGGTTTTGTTATACTAATTTAAAGAGAGGGGAGGATCTTGATTGTATTATTTGTCGTTTAAGTGTAGCTTTTAAGGAGTAGATGGTTGAACAAGACTTTATGTTGTCGGGTAAATCATTCCAAATGTCTGGGCCAGAATGTCGAACAGATTTGTGTGTTATTGATAATTTGGGGTTTGTAAGATGGAAGTTTCCAGATATGCGAGTTGAGTATGAATGAACGGAATTATTAAACCTAAACATGTTATCAAAGGATGGTGGAAGCAGATTATTAATGTACTTAAACATAATCACTGCTACTTGAGTTGTGTTCAGATCGATTTTTTTTAGTGTTTTAAGTTTATAGAATAAAGGATCAGTGTGAGCTAAGAAATGCGAACCTGTACAAATACGTAAGGCTTTCTTTTGCAGTTTGAAAATAGAATTAATTTTTGTCGAACCACAATTTGACCATACACTATTACAATATGTTATATACGGGAGAACTAGCGAATTATATAGTAGGAATAAGGTTGCATGGGGTAGAAGAAACTTTAACTTGGAGATAATTCCAATCCTTTTGGAAATGCACATTGTAACTTGGTGTAAATGATCATTCCAAGTCAAGGTTTCATCTATAAGAACACCCAAAAACTTGGGATTAGTTTTCTTCTCTAGTAGCATACCATCGATTTTAATATATATAGGTGTTTCTGTATTATGAGAATGATGTTTAAAATACATGAAATTAGTCTTTTTTGTATTAAGTGAAAGTTTATTGGATTTAAACCAATCTGATACTTTGTTAATTTCATAATTCAAAGTATTGTTTAACGAATTAAGGTCTTTATGGGAATAAAAGATATTTGTATCATCGGCAAATAAGATAAAAGAAAGAATGGGGATGTATTGATAATATCATTTACATAAAGAAGAAATAACAGTGGACCTAAGATGGAGCCTTGAGGAACACCGCATTGAATTAAAAGAGGATCAGAATCATAACTATTAAATGTAACATATTGTCTTCTGTTTGTTAAATAATCTTTAAACCATATTAGAGTGGCTGACCCCGAATTCCATAATGACTGAGTTTGGAGAGTAGAATAGCGTGATTGAGCGTATCAAATGCTTTACTCAAGTCACAGAATATACCTATAACATGCTCTTTGTTAGCTATGGCACTTGTAATTTTGTCATAAATTTGAATTAATGCTAAGTCAGTTGAGAAATTTTTTCTGAAGCCATATTGATTTGAATTGAGTATTTTGTGTTTAGTGATAAATTTGTGTAGCCTATTATGAACGATCTTTTCTAAGACTTTGGATATAATTGGAAGTAGGAAAATTGGACGATAGTTACTAATTTCGCGAGGATCATCTTTTTTGAGAATGGGGTTGACTTTAGCTAGTTTTAATAGATCAGGGAAAACACCTTGCGTTAACGAGTGATTAAATATGTGAGTTAAAGGCTTTGCAAGTGGATACATTATTTCTTTTAGGAGAGACACACTTATTTTATCAAAACCGTGCGATTTTGAGTTGTTAAGAGATTGGGTAATGTTAATAATTTCGCTAGGATTTGTCGGATTTAAAAAGAGAGACTCTTGGTTTTGATTGGAAAGATAGTCTTTAAAGTGAGCGTGAGTTCTATTAATTTTGCTGGCGAGTTCAAGTCCGATATTCGTAAAAAATGAGTTAAATGAATTTGCATGAAGACTAGGATCATGTATTTTAGTGCCATTTAATGTGATATTATCCGTGGGTGGGGGATTCGTTTTTTTCCCATTACCTCTTTGATAATTTTCCAAGTTGCAGTTGTGTTTGAATTGGCCTTTTTTATTTTATTAGAAAAATGCAATCTACGGGATGTACGGATAAGTTTTGTTAATTTGTTTCGATAAATTTTATATGTGTTTAGGTTAGTGTCAGTTGGATTGTGTAAATGTAATTTGTAGAGGCGATTGCGTGTTTGTATTGATTTCAATAAACCTTTTCGTTATCCAAGGATTCCTGGGTTTATTTCGCTTATTACTCATTTTGCCTAAAGGAATATTCTTTTCATAATAATATTGCAATTTGTTACTAAAATGTTTATATGCTTTTGTTTATATGTTCATATGTTTATCAAATGATTTACGGCCAGATAGTTTGCATTCACAAGTTAAAAATATGGGTAGGTGATCCGACACTTCAGAACACAATATTCCACCGATGGTTTTGTTGTTATGTACGTTTGAAAAAATATTGTCAATCTGAGTTGATGAATGTGGATTTATTCTGGTGAGTTTATTAATAATCGAAAAAAGCCGTATGAATGCATCAACTGCGGACAATTGGTTGAGTTACTGTTATCAGATGAGGGTGAGAAGTTGATGTTAAAGTCACCAAGGATAAAATTGTTTTTATTTTCATCCCCTATTTTATGAAGATAAAAATCCAGTTCGTCACAGAATAAATCACAATGAGAATCAGGGGGTCTATAAATCAAACCTATGATGACATTTTTGGCATTTGAGTTATCAATTTCGATAAATAAAGATTCTGCTTGTGTTAGTTTAATATCTGAACGGATTTTGAAGTTTATGTTTTGTGTAATATAAAACGCAACACCGCCACCTCTTCTTCCTTTGCGGTCCGCCCTAATCAACTTATAATTAGGCAAATTGAACATATCTGGAGAATTCTGATGTAACCATGTCTCACTTATTCCAATGACGGAAAATGCAAAATTATTTAAAGGGATCCGGTAACTTTGTCTCAGATTCTGAAATAAAATTCTAGATTTAGCTCATGATCCAATGATAATTATAAATCTTTAGGTCAGTCAGGAACCCTATGACTTTTACAAGCCGATCGCCTGTCTGATTATCAAGATATTTATGATTGCAATTACAAATTTTGAAAACCGTTCGCCTGACGGTTTTCATAACACTACAAACGAGTATGGTAAAACCGGTCACTCAAAGATTTTTACTTTTTTGAGGCACTTCTTGATCATTTTGAAGCGCATTTTTTTTTTAGGGCTTCAATATTACACCATATCACAGACACTGATAACACGTAGGGCCGTGTATCTCAGATTTAACATTGTTAAACGATCCTTTTAACGAGTGTAAAAGGTTTGCAATGTATTGCACGCATTAAACGCGCTATTACGTAATGCATAGTAAATTCATCATTTCTAGCGATAACTTTGCGATGACGTCATTAAAATTTACCAAACGTGGCAGACAGTTGTCACGTATATGAATACATGTGTCTGCCAAGTTTCATCGACGTACGTATAAAGATCGCTATTTTAGATCAAGTTATTTCTCAATTTTCTTGAAAACTGCATATTTTGAGGGCATTTTTCGCAAAGTCGGTCAGTGTTAGGGTATATAATTTTGTATATGGCTGGAAAGGGCATATGTTCAAGTATTTAAATCCCAAAAAGGGTACGGGTCTGCCCAGCCATAATGGAGATACGGCCACAGAAAGAAAGCCAATTCCCAGAACTTTAGATGGCGCTATTTATGTTTTGCATAGCCATTGGAACGTGAAATTTGACATGGCTATGTGCAATTATAAGATAAAGATACTGTGAGATTTAAATACAAAACGGAATTTATATGAGAAAGTTATAGCACTTTTAGATTATTTAGCGTCAATTTTTCAAGAATTTGAGAGATTGTTGACGGAGTCGGTATCAGATTTGAATTTGGAGTATGAAGATGGCATTTTGAAGGGCAGGTTATGAGTCGCAGATTAAAGAAAATCTCTTACTCTATCTAGAGAAATTTGTTAGAAGTTTTTAGGATCTAGGATAGTGGAGATAGGAAGGAAGATATATAAAGGCCTTAAAATGGACCAGAAACGGACAAAATGGCGCCTGGACGTTTATGCATGAGTGATTTCAGAAAACGAAAAAGTAGGTGACCTAGATATCAGAGATTACGCCTACGAAATTTGAAAGGAAAAGGACTTGAGGAAAGTACCTAACTAGGAATAACAAGCACTACGTGCAAAACGAATGGGATTCCGGACGACAAAAAGAAGAAGAGGAAGAGGAAGAGGAAGAAGAAGTAAGAATATTAATAAGAAGAATGTGAACGAAAACAAGGCAATGACGAAGGTCGTCATTGCAACTAGAAATGCAATCGTGTCACAACGATGTGCGTGCAATGACGCCATGTTTCTACGTGTCAAACGAAAGAGCTTCTCTCGGACTATCCAGAGCAATTTGTACGAAGTCTGTAGCTACTGTGATATTGGAGATAGGTAGGGCGAAAGAAAGGCCTCAACAGTGACCTTGATGGGATGGTAGTGACTATGCCTACGAAGTTTGAAAGAAATTGGGATAGGGGAAAGAACCTAGAAAGGGCTCGCAAGCACTGCGTGCAAAAACCAATGGGATTGGGTGCATGTTCGTCATTGCAATAAAGATCGTTCTGTGGGCCAAAAGCGTGGACCCGATATGCCCCATAGACAATTCCGAAAGCAAGCAGCAACATTCCGAAAGCAAGCAGCAACAACTGGGTGAAAACTCTCATGACACTAGAGGGCGCGATTAACTCGACGAATGAAATGCCGCCGAAAGAGATATCAAAGGCAGCCAAGAAGCATCTCAGCGTGCTAGGCCAGTATAACCCTGGCAAGAGGCTTGATATAATACGGAATTACACGTCGGTGATCTTCGTGCGCAATCCGTATTC